AAACGTATAACTGGACTACGATTCAAAATTTTAATAACTCGATCTACTGGCCGCTATAGATAGCTGGAGTCGAATTTTTTTAATTAAGTAGGCAATTTTTACTTCAGTCGCGCGACTGACTTGACGACCCCTAGATCCGCCCCTGATTATCAGTGCTCGAAATCTCTTTAAAAAACTCATTAATAATTCAGGAGCAAAACACAAAGAAAAATCATATATAAGCGTGTCGTATCTTTATATGTGATAAAAATTCATGTTAATTTACATAAACTTTAGCTTTGATTTTCTCGGTTTAGACAAAGTTTATTTTAAAAATTACTTCGCTAATGTACTCATCAGAAGATGGGTCGTTTTTTAAGCCATTTAAAGCACTTGTAGTCGTGTTTTATCAGATATAAAACGCTCGCGTTTTATATCTGATAAAACACGACTACAAGTGCTTTAAATAGTACTTCAAAAACTCATTAATAATTCATGAAGCAATTATCCAATCTTGAGTAAGAAATTAGTCACGTGCATACGTCTTTATACCAGCTAAAGAACACTTGAACAAAAGACCATTGTTATGCAAACTATATAAAGATTTTTATATAAAGATTTTATATAAATATTTTTATATAAAGATTTGACTTATTATGCATACGTTTTTGAAGTCATTTAAAAAACACGCGGGTCGTGTTTTATTAGGTCTAAAGCCACTCGCGCTGCGCGCTCGTGCTTTAAACCTAATAAAACACTCCTGCTCGTTTTTTAAATAGGACATATAAACTGCACTATACTTTATATAATAATAGTTAACTATTGTCAATTTAAATAGAAATACATGCATTGATGCATGCTGTAAAATTGACGCCATATTACCATCTAAAATCTCTTTATTTTAGCATCATTTTATAGATAAAGCACGAAACATATTTTTTTAGTTTGTTTGCTGCTTGACAAACTTATCAAAATATATGTGGAAAAATATATTCATAAGTTTTGAGCGCGTGTTAAGTAAGATACAAAGATTCTCCTCTTAAGACTTAAACATTTCATTCTAGAGCCAGTTAATAAAATCAAAAGGTTACCCATGTGAAGAACACTTCGTCCGAACCGAAGACAACTTTATCTTAAACGTACAACGTATACCGCACGGTCGAAATCAGAACCACACGAGACAAAAAGCAAAACCGATCGTGTTTCTACAACATGGACTATTGGCCGATAGCGCTTGTTGGGCTTTTAATTTTCCCAAAACCAGTCTGGCTTTTATCTTGGCTGATAATGGTTTCGACGTCTGGCTTGGAAATTCGCGAGGAAATAGATACGCGAGAAGGAATACGCATCTGTCGCCTGATTCCTTGAAGTTTTGGAAATGGACGTAAGTATTGGCAGTTTGCCGCAGGCAGCGAGGGAGGAAAGAAGAAAAGATCAATGCAAAATATTCTTTCCTATTTTTTAACTAGATTTGATGCTATGGCAAAGTATGATTTACCTGCAACAATGGATTATATTGAACGTACCACAGAACAAGATCAACTGGTCTACATTGGTCACTCTCAGGGAACTCTGATCGCGTTTGCCGCTCTGTCCACTAATCCTGAACTTGCAAAGAAAATAAAGTTGTTTATTGCCCTCGCTCCTATTGTCACCATTGGAAATATAATGGTGCCTGAACTCAGAATTCTGGCTGACATTACTACGGCTATTGATGTAAGTATTGTGATGATGACGGTGATGGTCATCATGCTAATAATGATGTTGTTGATGATGACGATGGATTGATAATGATGATGGTGATGATGATGATGGTGACGACGTTGATGATGTTGGCGGTGATGGTGATGATAATAATGATGATGATGATGATGACGACGATGATGATAGTGATGATGGTGATAATAATGATGGTGATAATGATGATGATGATGATGGTAATATATGATGGTGATGATGGTGATGATGGTGATGATGGTAATGATAGTGATAATGATGGTAGTAATGATGCTGGCAACTATAATGATGACGATGATGATAATGATGATAATGATGGCGATAATGATGATGATGAGGATGATCATGGTGACAAGGATGGCAATGATGATAGTGATGATAATGGTGGTGGTAATCAATACATCTCCGTTTGTCACATTTTATATTTCCAGGCTGTGGCACCAGTTATCGACGCGCCATTTCTTCCCGGTAATATATGGAGGACACAGTTTATAGACAAAGGTTTTTGCAACGGGTTGACAGAGGAAAAGTTATGTTATCAAGTTGCAAAAATTTTCGTTGGAGATGATCCCACAAATATAAATTATGTAAGTAAATATTTATACAGTTTCCTTCTGTAGTAATCCATAAGGAATAATCCATTATCCATCCAGGAATAATCCATTATCCATCCGGGACTGAGTATAATTGAGAACTGATATCCAGTATAAATAAAGTAGGTCAAAAAATCTTTCTCTTAATTTCAGAGTCGCATTCCAGTATTTCTAAACGGTTTTCCATCAGGAACTTCGTTACGAAATCTGGTTCATTTTGCTCAGGTAATTTTATTACTATTCTACTAAACACACACGATGTGTCACTAAGGAAAGGGCAAAACAGAGCTGATGTGTTTTTTTGTTTTTGTTTTTTTTCAGTTGCTCGTCTCAGGAAAATGTCAAAAGTTTAACTATGGCATCATTGAAAACTATGTACATTACGGCCAGGTATCAGAGAGGTGTCTTTACTGGAGTGTTGTCCGTATTATTGAGGTGCCTGTATTAGAGAGGTGTCTGTATTAGAGAGGTGCCTGTATAAGAGAGGTGTCTGTATTAGAGAGGTGTCTGTATTAGAGAGGTGTCCACATTAGACAGATGTCTGTATTGGAAAGGTGTCTGTATTAGAAAGGTGTCTGTATTAGAAAGGTGTCTGTATTAGAAAGGTCTCTGTATTAGAAAGGTGTCTGTATTAGAAAGGTGTCTGTATTAGAAAGGTGTCTGTATTACAAAGGTGTCTGTATTACAAAGGTGTCTGTATTACAAAGGTGTCTGTATTAGAAAGAGGTGTTTGTATTGGAGAGGTGTCCATATTAGACAGGTGTCTGTATTAGAGAGGTGACTGTATTAGAATGGTGTCTGTATTAAAAAGGTGTCTGTATTAGAGAGGTGTCTGTATTAGACAGGTGTCCACATTAGACAGATGTCTGTATTAGAAAGGTGTCTGTATTAGATAGGTTTCTGTATTAGAGAGGTGTCTGTATTAGAGAGGTGACTGTATTAGAATGGTGTCTGTACTAAAAAGGTGTTTGTATTAGAGAGGTGTCTGTATTAGAGAGGTGTCCACATTAGACAGATGTCTGTATTAGAAAGGTGCCTGTATTAGAGAGGTGTCTGTATTAGACAGGTGTCTGTATTAGAGAGGTGTCTGTATTAGAAGGTGTCCACATTAGACAGATGTCTGTATTAGAAAGGTGTCTGTATTAGAGAGGTGTCTGTATTAGAAAGGTGTCTGTATTAGAAAGGTGTTTGTATTAGAAAGAGGTGTTTGTATTGGAGAGGTGTCCATATTAGACATGTGACTGTATTAGAGAGGTGACTGTATTAGAATGGTGTCTGTATTAAAAAGGTGTCTGTATTAGAGAGGTGTTTGTAATTAGACAGGTGTTTGTATTGGAGAGGTGTCCACACTAGACAGGTGTCTGTATTGGAGAGGTTTCCACGCTAGAGAGGGGTCTGTATTGAAGAGGTGTCCTCGTTATAGGGGGTGTCTGTATTAGAGAGGTGTCTGTTTTAGAGAGGTGGCCATATTAGAAAGGAGTCTGTATTAGAGAGGTGCCCACTAGTGCTGTGCGCCGGAGTTGCGGAGCCGGAGTTATGCCGAAGCTCCGGCGGTTTTTCCGACGCCGGAGCTGGAGCAGAATTTTGTATGCCGGAGCCCGGAGCCGGAGTTACGTTTTCCCAGCTCCGGCAAAATGACAAGAAAACAATATCAAATGAGACAAATGTCAAACGATTGTTAGTTACTGCAAACTGCCAATTGCTGTTAATGAATTCATCATAGACTCAAACTGCCACAGCCCACAGGAATAGCGTCGAAAAGCTGTAATACGATCGCAACTTACAAACGTCATGCTTTCATGAAGCCATCTGACTTAGCCCTACATACTGTAGTCTGTGTATTCATGCCTTGTAGATAACGAAAAAGTACAAAACAAATAAATATCAACCTTTTGAAAATGACAGAGTACTTTGTTTGCATGCAAACAATCGCGCTGTGGAGTCTGAGAGTGTTAGCGTCATGCCTCGCGTCATGCCTCGTGTCAAAGATTTTTCGAGGCTGGTTTCCATATAGATATTTTCTGCGTGGTTAAGTGTTTTCACTGTTTTGTTTCCTGAGTTATGTTATCTGATAATTAGGAAGTGCGAAAAGGGTTATTTATAATAATAATAAATGTTCTCTGATCGTAAAACATTTATTTAATATTTTACGATGTGACCGGAGACGGAGCCGGAGCTCAGAGCTGTAATTCGGCCGGAGCCGGAGATGAAAAACCGGAGTTTGCACAGCACTAGTGCCCACACTGGAGAGATGTCTGTGTTAGAAAACTTTTCTTATTTACTGAGCTTTCTTAAATCTGTTCTAATTCTATTCAACATATTCCTAGGCAAAACCACCCCAATATGATGTGGGGAAGATCAAGGTGCCTATCGCTATATTCTCGGGAAGTCACGACACGCTTTCGGATCCGGCCGACGTCGAATTGCTGATACTGAAACTAAAAAATCTGGTCTATATTAAGAAACTGGAAGAATTTAATCACGTTGATTTTGTTATGGGTTTGAATGCGAATATTGTACTGTACCCAGACATTGTTAAACTTAGCAAGGAATATTCTAACTTGGATTAAGTCTGCCAACAAGCCGTCAACAAGTTGTGTTCGCCGACTGCTTGTCCCAAGTTGTCAGCAAGTTTGGAACAAGCTGTTAACAACTTGTAACAAACTTGATGGCTTTATCAGGCTTGTCGCAAGGTTGTTCCAACAAGTTTGGTAGAGTCATGATATGACAATATTGTTACAACTTTGTGCCGTCAACCTTGTAACATTCTTGTTATATCATGACTGTATCAGACTTGTTAGAACAACCTTGTAACATTCTTGTTATATCATGACTGTATCAGATTTGTTCGGAACATTAATTATTATTTTTCAATAGTCAAAGTCGCATTTTTCTAGTGTTTTATTGGTTGAGAGCATATCACGTGAGAGTGAAAGCAGTGTGTTTTGTGGACCTCGGGAAAGCAGTGTGTTTTGTGGACCCTCGACCGTCGATGTTTCCCTCTGCTTCGCCTCGGGAAACATCGACGGTTTGGGGTCCACAAAACACACTGTTTCCCTCGGTCTCAGTAAATAAGTGATAATTGTCACATTCTTGTTATATCATGAATGTAACGGACTTGTCAGAGGGTCTAGATGGGGTGGGGAGGGGGGGGGG